GTTGCTAGGTGGGAGGACGAGAGGGTTGTGCTGAGCACAGGCCCAGCTGTCTTTCCTCCAGCTGCATCAGGGAAGCAGGGTACAGGGTCACAGAGGACTTGGGCTGAGCCAGGCCCTCCTCTCTCCTCTTTGCCAGCAAAGGGGCTGGTCATTTTTGTTGAAGCATCGGTTTCCCTGTGCCAAGTACGAAAGAGTGCCCCCACAAGGCTACCATGGGGGTGCTGGTCCCTCGTGTGCCAAGTTCCAGGCCTGTGAACCCGCATGCTGGTGATGCTGAGTGAGCATGGGTGCTCTGCCCCCTTCCAGACAAGTCCCCAAGTGCCTGGGGCCTGGGAGCAGCACACCCTGCCTGCAGCAGCACCGGGGCTGCCACAATGGTGAGGCCAAGGCGAGGCCAGGTGGGCAGCCTATGAGGAGAGGGGTGCACCTGCCCTGCCTGGGCTGGGGTGTGCTACTATAGAATGAGACCACCACTTCTCCTGCTCTTTCCCAGCTTTTCCCTGTCTCCCCTTTTCCCTAGTTTATAAGACAGGAGAAGGGGGAGAAACCAAAGGGGGTGTGCTACTATAGAATGAGACCACCACTTCTCCTGCTCTTCCAGCTTTTTCCCTGTCTCCCCTCTTTTTCCCCAGTTTTCATAAGACAGGCAGTGTGGAGAAACCAAAAAGTTGGAAAGAAACAGAAGTAAGATAAATAGCTAGATGACCTTGGCACCACCACCTGGCCCTGGCGGTTAAAATAATAATGATAATATCAACCCCTGACCAAAACTACTAGTGTTATCCCCTTTTCCCTAGCTTCTTATAAGACAGGAGAAGGGGGAGAAACCAAAGTTGGAAAGAAACAAAGTAAGATAAATAGCCAGATGACCTTGGCACCACCAATTGGCCCTGGCGGTTAAAATAATAATGATAATATCAACCCCTGACCAAAACTACTAGTGTTATCTGTAAATTCCAGACATTGTATGAGAAAGCACTGTAAAACTTTTTGTTCTGTTAGCTGATGCATGTAGCCCCTCGTCACGTTTTCCACGCATGCTTGATTTATCATGACCCAAAAAGGCCACGTATTTCTTCTTCAGGGAGCTCGGCTCTTAAGACGCGAGTCTGCCGACGCTCCCGGCTGAATAAAAAACCTCTTCCTTCTTTAATCTGGTGTCTGAGGAGTTTTGTCTGCGGCTCGTCCTGCTACACTGTCATCTAAAGGAAGAGATGATGATACTACTTCCACTACTGGAGAAGGTACACACCCCCCATGTTATTGTTCCTCATAACTTGTGGGGGAGAGCATGATATTACTTCCAATATGACAGTGGCTTGACATCCAGTCTGTGATATTGCTCCTAATTTCCAATAGGTAAAGTATGATGTTCCTGCCAAGAGAGTAGTGGGTGTACAGCCGCCCTGTGATATGTCTCCAAATATTCAGGGAAAAACAGGAGGACATTACCCCAAATCTCCCAAAAAGTGTACACCCATTGTGTGGTATGGTTCCTAATAGCCGGAGGTGTGATAGGAGAAGGATGGTATTCTTCTCCTATCGCAGGCTGTGTACACAAAACCTGTGAAATTGTTCCTAATATCCTGAACAAAGGAGATTGTTAGTAATGGACACACATTGCAGGGGGAGTAATGATTACGATCCACATCGTAATGGTGAGTAATAGCAACCCTCTCTCTCCCCCTCGCTGTTACGATCCTCATCACAGTGGGGTAAGGCACCCCCCACGATATGGGGAGTAATAGCATCCCCCTCTCTCCCCCTGGCCTTATATAAGGATGCTGGCCTTATATAAGTGCCCCCCAATGCCATCGTAGTCTTTAATGTATTCACTTAAAGTTTTTTCCTCATTTAGATCTGCCAATCCCTTAATAGGTCTAATTGCTGCCTGACATTCTGTATTAACATTTTCATGAGCAAGCAGCTGAACGATCACTTTCTTGGCAAGAGAATTGGAAATAGCCTTTTGAGCCGCATCCAGCAAAGGAGTGATAGAATCTGGAAAAGGCTCCCTTGGACCCTGTTGAACTGTGTTAAAAGAAGGACAAGCAGAACTAGCGTCGTGAATTTTTTCCCAGGCTCTTAGGCATGTAGTTCTGAGCTGATCAACAGCCTATTACCATCTGTTGATTTAGAGTACTCTATGCCTGTCCGACTCCAAGCAATTGATCAGGTGTGATATTAACGGGACGTTGGGCTTGAGCATTTCTGCCTGATTTGTTCCTTCATCCGTCCACCAGGTTTTCAACTGGAGAAATTCACAGGGGGACAGGGTGGATCGGGCTAGTGCTTCCCAATCCATAGGTATTCAACGTCTGTTATAAGCCACACATTGTAACAAGGAATGAACATAAGGGGAATTTGGCCCATATTGTCCAATTGCTTGCTTTAAGTCTTTTAATATTTTAAAAGGAAATGGCTCTCAGCATGCTTGAGCAAGTTCTCTGGCCTCCTCAGCTGGCGAAATAATTACCAGAAACTGCCAAGCATTCAAATTCCCCATTTCTTGTGCCTGGCGAACGGATGCCTGGATTGTCCCTGTGCCATAATTTGTATTTGGACCCGCTGGCAGCACTCCTCTACCAAAATTAACAGGTGGGCAAGCCTAGATCATTCCCTCATCCTAATTGGCTGTTGGACAAGCCTGAAGCTTCCCTTCGCCATAGTTACTGGCGGGACCTGCAACAATGGGAGCGGCAAGGCCAGTCTCAGGCTCCCCTTCCAAAAATTCCTAAGGCTGGCCTGGGGGTGGCCATTCCAGATCTTCCCCTAAAGGCGCAGTAGGTGGCACAGTTTCTTTTATAAGTCTTTGGAGATTAGCATACATACCTTCGCGTTTCTCGCCCTTTTTTAAACGAGACTGTCATGGTTCACTTAGCTGATAATTAGACTCCTGATTATTCAACTTTCCTATGTCATCCTGAAAATCCTCCTTCTCCTCCTGAGTGTGGAAGGGCTCCAGGGCTGTTTTAATTGCAGACCACACAGACCAAGCAGAGACTGGAATATCGCGGCCCTCTTGTTGTGCTCGTTTTAAGTCTGATCCGACCTTGTCCCAATCTTCTACATTCATGGTTCCATATTCTGGGAACCAAGGAGAATACTTGTCTACCAGACGGAACAAAGATGTGAGATTTTGGGTACTGACAATTACCCCTCCGTGGCGCAGTAACTGCTGCACAAGGCTTAAGTAATTAGCGAACTTACTCTCAGCTCGACCCACATTTTCCCGAGGTTTCCCTGGAATTCCCCGAGTGCCCTCCTTACCCTAGAGCTTGAAGTGAAAACCTACTCGGGAGTCCTTTGTCGGTCGTCCTCAGCTTTCCACGCTCTGGTGTTCCTTCACTGGATTATTTGTAGGGATTACGGGGAGCCCTGCGTTGGGCACCAGAGACAGCCTGGGCAACCGAGGGAGACCCCCGTTTCTACCAAAAAAAAAAAAAATTAGCCAGGTGTGGTTTCGCGCGCCTGTAATCCCAGCTACTCCACGAGAAATCAAACAAAACCTGCCACCAGAGACTGATTTTCTTCTAAAATGCTTTCTCCAAAATATTTTTAAAACAAAAGGGGGAAATTGGAAAGGAAAATATTTTGGACCCCCAAATCACTAAGATAAAGGGAAAAATCAATCTGGGAACTGCTTAGGGCAAACCTGCCTCCCATTCTATTCAAAGTCATCCGCTGCTCGCTGAGAAGAATGCATATCTTATTGCCTTCTTTGGAAAGGCTCATCAGAAACTCAGAAGAATGCAACCGTTCCTCTCTCACCTGCCTGTGACCTGGAAGCCCCCTCCTGGCTTCGAGTTGACCCACTTTTGCTTCAGGTTGTACCGGATCGAACCAGTGTTCATCTTACATATGTTGATTGATGTCTCCTGTCTCCCTAAAATGTATAAAACTGTCAGATACAGTCAGTTTCTCTTCCAAGGTTTGGCATGTTAACGTTCTTGTGTTTTGTTCTCGAACTCAACTTTCTTGTTCTCCATGCCTCCTTGCCCTTAGTTACTGTAAACAACCTTCCCCCCGTCAGTTCTAATCAATCACTCACATCTGTTCCCTTGGTTACCTGCTCTGCACCCATTTCTCCCTTCCAAACCACACGTCCCACCGTTGTAACTCACAACCCCCTTCCCCCTTCCTTATTTGGGAAAATATTCACAAATAGCCAACGGGGTCAGTGTAGATCTTGAGGTCTGGCCCCAGCCCATGCCAGAGGTAGGGATTGCATTAGGAATAAAAACCCCTGCTTTCCTTTGTTCCGTGTGCTCTTGCGATTGTGATTGATGCGAGCAGCACGCTTCCGCAGAGGTAAATTGCGTTGCTGAGAAAACTTTTGCTTAAGCAAAAGTGCTGGTTTCACTTTGCATCACCGAGCATTTATCTCCAACAAAACCAAGCTGTGCTCTGACCACCTTGGGCAACTGTCATCAGGACATCCTGAGGATGTGTCATGCACAAGCATCCCCAACCTTGGCAAAATAAACTTTCTAAATACTCTTATCCCCAAATGCTCAGGGAGACTGGTTTGAATAATCATAAAACTCCGAGGCTGCACTCCAGCCTGGGCGACAGAGCAAGACTCTGTTTCAGAAGTAATAAAATAAAATAAAATAAAATAAAATAAAAATCAAATCTCCGGTCTCCCGCACAGCCGACTCTGCATGAATTACTCCTTCTTTATTGCTATTCCCCCCGTCTTGAGAAATCGGCTGTCTAGGTAGCGGGCAAGGTGAACCCACTGGGCAGTTACAGAATTGCCATTATATTGCTTGCAATTTTATATCTTATTACGCAAAATAGCTATAATCTTGTATACAAGGTTAAATGCGAATGTGCTCCTTGCGTGGTCAGATCCCAGCGCAGGAAGGACGCACCGCCTACAAACCGCTGGGCCAAAACGGTCATTCTGGCCTCGTCCAGCCTCACGTGAGATCGCAATCTCCTGTCACTCAGGGCCTGAGGGGGCGGGGCCTGAAGCCCCTACAATCAGGGAAGCTGGGGTGGGGATCCGTCAATCAGGCGCGCTGCCGGAAAGGAGAGGGCGGCTTCCGGGATCTGGCTGGCGGCCCTTCGTCTCGCCTTCGCCACCGTAGGCTCTTTCTCTGAGTATCCGCTGCTACTTCTTGGCTTTGGGAGGCCCGGTGGCTCTGCAGCAGCCTCGGCCACCCTGTGACCTGCGGGTGTTGGGACATCCCTAGCGGACGCCAGGACACCCGGGAAGCCGAGGAACGGTGAGTGGACTGCGCCTGGCTTCCCGAAGTGGGGAAGAGAGCTGAGTGAAACCTGCTGGAACCAGCCATGGGCTGCGGAACCTGCGGACCGAGTCTCCGCGGCGCAGCCGGGCCTCAGTCCCCTTCTGTGCAGGGCCGGGCGGCGCGGGCAGCGGGACCCCTGCGTCCTGTCTGTACCTGCGGGCGCCACTTCCGCCGGCCGGAGCCCTCTCCGTAACCCGCGCCTCCCCCACCCAGGTAGTGCGGTGACCACGGGAGGGTGATCCGGGAGAGCCCTGACGGTGAGCAGAGTTCCAGCGTGGGAGGAGCTGTGGTTCATGGAGCTTCCGGTCCCACCTTTCTCCCCCTAAAATTAACCTGAGGCTTTGTTAAAACGTTAAACGGCGTGTTTGAGCAAACGCGATTCTTAAACGGGTACCGCAGTCATGGTTTATGGTTTGGGGTCCACGGGAGGGGCGTAAATGAGAGGCTTTGATAAGGTGAATGAGGAAGCAAACCATACATATATATACACACACACATATATACATATATATACACACACATATATATATATATATTTTTTCTTTTTTTTTGAGACGGAGTCTCACCCTGTCGCCAGGCTGGAGTGCAATGGTGCAGTCTCAGCTCACTGCAACCTCTGACTCCCGGGTTCAAGCGATTCTCCTGCCTCAGCCTCCCAAGTAGCTGGGCTTATAGGCGCCACCACCACGTCCAGCTAATTTTTGTATATTTAGTAGAGACAGGGGTTCGCCATGTTGGCTAGGTTGGTTTCGAACTCCTGACCTTAATTGATCACCCTCCTCGTCCTCCTAAAGCGCCGGGATTACAGGCGTGAGGCACCTTGGCCAAAATATTTTTCTGTTTCCAAACATTTTACATGAGAGGAAAGCGGAGAATAAATCATCTGACACTCTACTGTAAAAAAAATCTTTGTACCTCTCTTCTTTTCATCTTTCCTAAGTGTACATATTACCAAAATGTCTTTAGGTTGAGGTCCCCCCGTGAAAACTTGACAGGGTGTTGTGTCCTCAGCCACTCTCCTGTCTTTTCCTAGTCCTGGCATTTTAGAACTGTCTGGGGATGACCCAGAATACCCACAGTGGCCATGTCTATTGGAGGGTCTAGTGAGTATCAGCCCAGGGGTCATCTCATCCCCAAGGACAACCTGAGGTAGGGGGTAGAGTCTCTCAGGGGAGCAGCTGGATGCTCTTGGCCTTAGAGGAATCTCCTGGTATAGTTTCATCTAAAATGGTGACCCCTTAAGGTCATTAAAATTTTAGGACATTAAAATTAATGGACAATACAATGTAATGTCATGAAAGTTAGGTCATTAAAATTATTCCTCCAGCCCGAGTTTTTATTCCTCGAAGACACATTGATGGTTTGCCAGTTGGATGCTGATATTGAGAGGAAAAGGCAGAAATGATTTCTGCTCTCTAGCTTGTCTCAGACTTGTGAAGAGAGAAAAACCGTCCCAAAGGACAAGGAAAACCCACCCCAGAGAGGATGTGCAAGAATATGAATATTAAAATGCACTTAAGGCCCACAGGAGGACAAAGAGCAGTGCCAGTGCCTTGTAGGTGGTCATTGAGTACTTTGCTGAACAGGATGGGTGTCCTAAGGGATAGAATGGCCTGCCGTGACACTTAGAAAGGTCTGCGTTGGAGTCAGCACTGCCTCTCCCTGAGTTTGTTACCTTGAAAAGGCTTGTCCGCTTATTTGAGTTTCAGGTTTTCACTGACTGTAACATACATTTTGTCAGTACAGCTTGAAAGATAAAAATACTATTTCCAAAGAGGCAAGGTAAAATGATGTATTTCATTTGCTAAAAATTCATATTTATTTCTCCCCAGAGTGAGTGTAGTAAGTTTTAAAGTTCTGTTCTTTTTAAGGATAATTTCAAATGGAATTGTAGGACTTAGCTTTGTAAATGCTACTGGTGAAATAAAAGTGTGTTAGATAAATTGATGATTTATAAAGATTCACCAAAATGTCAGTTCCCCTCTTGTAGCTTGGTGAAGAATTTATGACAGTGGACACATGTGTATCCTCTTATCTGGGTGTCTGAGTGTTGTTGTTTGTTTTTAGGAGATGCAGTCTTGCTATGTAGCCCAGCTGGAGTGCAGTGGCGCGTCTCTGCTTACTGCAACCTCCGCCTCCCAAGTTCAAGTTATTCTCCTGTGTCAGCCTCCCGACAATTTTTCTCCTGTGTCAGCCTCACCACACCCAGCTAATTTTCATATTTTTAGTAAACACAGGGTTTTAGGCCTGGCACGGTGGCTTATGCCTGTAATCCCAGCCCTTTGGGAGGCCAAGGTGGTCGGATCACGAGGTCAGGAGTTCCAGAGCAGCCTGGCCAACATGGTGAAACCCTGTCTCTACTAAAAATACGAAAAAATTATCTGAGCGTGGTGGCAGGCACCTGTAATCCCAGCTACTCGGGAGGCTGAGGCAAGAGAATTGCTTGAACCCAGGAGGTGAGGTTGCAGTAAGCCAAGATCTGGCCACTGCACCCCAGCCCAAGGGACAATGCGAGACTCCGTCTCAAAAACAAATAAACAAACAAACAAACAACAAAAAGACGGGATTTTTGCCATGTTGGCCAGGCTGGTCTCAACCTCCTGACCTCAGGTGATCCCCTGCCTCAGCCTCCCAAGGTGCTGGGATTACACGTGTGAGCCACGACGCCTGGCCCACTCTATTTTCTTTTTATTCCCTAAATTTTAATATGTTTGAGTTTGTCTGTTCCTTTATCACTTTTTTCTTACATAAAAAAAAATTCTGCCTAATCCTTCGTTAAAAAAAAAATCTTCCTGTGACTTCTGAAAGTGTTCTGGTTTTATCTTTTGTATTTGAATATATAATAAGATGATTATTGTTCATGGAATAGAGAAGAATGGAATGCATTTTCCCAAGTAGATGCCAGCCTGGTTTGCCTCGTATTTTAAAGTGCATGTGATTTCTTTTTCTATTCTATAGTGCCTACTCTATCATTCCTCAACTTTCCATATAGATGCTGGGTCATTAAGACTTTTTTTTTCCTTTGGTCTGCTTGCTCATCTCTCTGCTAACACTGTGCTGTCCTGAATATTTTTGTTTGAAAATCTTAGAAGTATGTTAGACAAGCCATCACTCTTTTTTTAGATGACTAAAAATCATTAGACATTGGTCATTTTTACTGCATATAAAAGAGTAGCTTTTCTTGCCTAAAACCACCTGATTTGGGAATTTATGTGGTTTCATAGGAATAGCATCTGGAAGTGGTAACATTAATGTCATTTTAAAAAGCATGTGTCCTATTTCCTCTTATTCCTTTCTGCCTTGATATTGTGCAATAGAAATTTGAAAAATTGTTGTATTAGTATTGTTAAATATCAATTATTGGTTTTATTTACTACTCAATTAAATTTAATAAGCCTATTCTCTCTTGGTGTAATCACGTGGAATGGGTTCACTTCCACAGTTAACAAGTGACAGCACATGTAAAATATTGTCTACCAGGGAAATTCATTGAACACTTAGTGTTCAGACTGTGTTTTTGTGTCTGGTTCCCTAAGCACCACTGCAGTGACACAAAATAATAGACTTTCAGCAGAAGAAGTTTTGGAAAATATACTGCATAAGCCATTTAGATGCAGTGAGTCATTCTTATTACTTGGGTTGGTGGAATCCCTTTCAAAATGTAAGTTCCTAATACAAACAAAGATTTAACTTTGCGAGCAGGTATTTTTAAGAATAAGTAGTCTCGCCGGGCGCGGTGGCTCAAGCCTGTAATCCCAGCACTTTGGGAGGCAGAGACGGGTGGATCACGAGGTCAGGAGATCGAGACCATCCTGGCTAACACGGTGAAACCCCGTCTCTACTAAAAAAAATACAAAAAACTAGCCGGGCGAGGTGGCGGGTGCCTGTAGTCCCAGCTACTCGGGAGGCTGAGGCAGGAGAATGGCGTGAACCCGGGAGGCGGAGCTTGCAGTGAGCTGAGATCTGGCCACTGCACTCCAGCCTGGGCGACAGAGCAAGACTCCGTCTCAAAAAAAAAAAAAAAAAAAAAAAAAAAGAATAAGTAGTCTCAGGACTGATAATATTAACTCACTTACGCACATCAGGTAGGACTTTAGTATGACAGATACTAGAAATGTACAAAGTGAAGTTAAAAGGTAACTCCTGGCAGCATATCGTAATCTCACTCCCTGGATTCTCTAATGAGATGGGTGTTTCTACTTTGCTGTTGCCTTTTTGAATAGTTCAATTCTAGCATTAGTACTGCTGTGTGGGAGGGAGTATGTGTGAACAGAGTAAGACTTGTGACAATCAAGTCATAGAATAAATGCTTGGAAATTTGAGAATCATGTAAACAGCTTATGAATTGAGTATACATTCCCAGTGCTCTCAGTCTCACTTATCCTTCTATCCACATGTGTGGAATGTTCTAGGACTCCATGGCTTTTGAGGATGTGGCTGTGAACTTTACCCAGCAGGAATGGCCTTTGCTAGATTCTTCTCAGAAGAATCTCTACAGAGAAGTGATGCAGGAAATCTGCAGGAACCTGGCTTCTGTAGGTAAGAATGACAACACATTTCACTTAATTACAGAAGTATTTCCCTATCATCAGTGCTATTTGTGATTTGGAATGGGGCAAGGGAATGATTTGGTGAATAAATCAGACATGGGCACTGTGTACAATGAACATGAAATCTAGTCATGTTTCTATCGTTTGAAATAATTCATGATAATTTTGTGCATCTGCATTTTAGGAAAAAATGGAAAGACCAGAATATTGAAGATCACTTCAAAAAACTTGGGAAAGATACAAGATAATTTGCACCGAGAAGAGGAAATAAAGTCCTCTGAAGGAATCTTAGCATGTCAGGAATTTAAAAACAAGCAATCAAAGCAAATAAGAGTCACTTGAAATTCATTTCCTTTTAGAAAAATTTCACCCAAATGGTAACGTACACCAGTGTAGCAGTCAGTGTTTGGAAAACAGTTCACTTGAAAATAGTACTACAAAATTGTGTATATGAATGTTACTATTTTGGTCATAGCCATGCAGGTGGTAGCTGTGTTTTCAGTAGTAGCCCATTTACTTTCAAATAATTCAGTCATGGCACAAAAACAAAAACAAAACAAAACAAAACAAAAATGCATTTTCCCTAGTATTGGTAGCAGTGTAAGTCGAAGACCTATGAATGAGTAGAAAGTTATTAAACCAACCAATAGTAATGTGCTTGTCATTTTTTTTTTACAGAAATCATATGGTACAGAGACTGTGTGAAAGCAAAGAAGGTAGTCAGTATGGACAAGTTGTCAGCCACATTCCAAATCTTGATCTGAATCAGAACATTTCTACTGGATTAAAACAATGTGAATGCAGTATTTGTGGAAAAGTCTTTGTACATCATTCCCTCCTTAATAGGCACATCCTAGCTCACTCAGGATACAAACCATATGGAGAGAAGCAATATAAATGTGAACAGTGAGGGAAACTCTTCGTTTCTGTTCCAGGTGTTAGAAGACACATGATAATGCACAGTGGGAATCCAGCTTATAAATGTATGGTATGTGGGAAAGCTTTTCATTTTCTCAATTCAGTTGAAAGACATCAGAGAACTCACACAGGAGAAAAACCCTATAAATGTAAACAATGTGGTAAAGCGTTCACTGTTTCTGGTTCTTGTCTAATACATGGACGAACTCACACTGCAGAGAAACCCTACGAATGTAAGGAATGTGGGAAAACACTCAGATTTTCTTGTTCTTTTAAGATGCATGAAAGGACTCACACTGGAGAGAGATGTACCAAATGTGATAAAGCCTTCAGCTGTTCCACTTCCCTTCATGACCATGGAAGCGTTCATACTGGAGAGAGACCCTATGAATGTAAACAATGTGGCAAAGCCTTTAGTCGTTTGAGTTCCCTTTGTAACCATAGAAGTACTCATACTGGAGAGAAACCCTATGAATGTAAACAATGTGACCAAGCCTTCTGTCGCCTCAGTTCCCTTCACCTCCACGAAAGAATTCATACTGGAGAAAAACCCTATGAATGTAAGAGATGCGGTAAAGCCTACACTCGTTCCAGTTACCTTATGTGCCTCTAAAGAAGTCATGATATAGAGGTTGGGTGTAGTGACTCAGCCTGTAATCCCAGCACTTTGGGAGGCCAAGCTGTGTGTATTGCTTGAGCCCAGGAGTTCATAACCAGCCTGGATTAAAACAATGTGAAACAACCTGGGCATCGTGGTGAAACCGTGTCTACAAAAAATAAAATAATGCCGGGCCCGGTGGCTCACGCCAGCTACTCGGGAGGCTGAGGCAGGAGAATGGCGTGAACCCGGGAGGCTGAGCTTGCAGTGAGCCGAGATCGCACCACTGCGCTCCAGCTTGGGCGACAGAGGCAGACTCCGTCTCAAGACAAAAACAAAGAAAATAATTAGCTGGGCATGGTGGCACATTTCAGTTGTCTTAGTTCTTTTTCAAGGACATAAAAGGCCACGGGGTGTTGGGGGGAAGCCCTGTGCATGCGGATCACGAGGTCAGGAGATCGAGACCATCCTGGCCAACATGGTGAAACCTCGTCTCTACTAAAAATACAAAAATAGCTGCGTGTGGTAGCATATGCTTGTAATCCCAGCTACTCAGGAGGCTGAGGCAGGAGAATCACTTGAACCCAGGAGGCGGAGGTTGCAGGGAGCCGAGATTGTGCCACTGCACTCCAGCCTGGCGACAGAGTGAGACTCCATCTCAAAAATAAACAAAGCCCCTTGAATGTAAGGAATGTGGTAAAACATTGACTCTTTCCCATTCCCTCATAAACATGAAAGAGCTCACACTGCTGAGAAACCTTAAGAAGGTAGGAAATGTGGTCAAACCTTCAGATTTTCCCATTTTTGAAGATTTGGGAGGACTCAGAGTGGAGAAAAGGCTTTTGAATCTAAATTTGTGGTAAGGCCTTCGGTTGTGTTAGTTCCATTTGAAGACATCAGCTCAGTCCTGAGAAAAACCCTATGAATGTCCAGAACGTGGGAACGTTTCATTTCTCTCATCCCCACTCCAGGACCTATGAAAATGCACCCTGCAGCTGGCTGGACCTTGTAAACACAAGAACGTACACAGGATTAAGACTCTAATAGTTTAGAAACTGCAAGAATATTTTCAGTTTTAACATTTAATTGAAACGTCATGTGAAAACTGGAAAGAAGTTCTATAAGTGAAGCTTTTCTAATTTGGAAAGCCTGATGCAAATTAGTTATTGAGTAGTGCTTGAAAAAATGTATGAAATGTTACACAAGTTACAAGTATATTTTTATCAGTGACTCATTCTTAAAGAGTCTTGAGTGTGCATTTCACCTTGTTTTGCAGGGGAACCTTGAGGTGAGAGTTCTGTAAATGCTCTTTAAGCAGTAGTACTTGAGTTTCATAGATAATGAGATGAAGTTTGTTGGTAGAATTTTTGTCTATTCATTTGATAATGTGCTGGATTCATGGTTGAATTTTGATGTTTTTCTAACATGGAGGTAAGTTTAGTTTTTTTATTTCATTATTATCTTTTTTTGAAATGGAGTCTCACTCTGTTGCCCAGGTTGGAGTGCAGTGGTGCGATCTCAGCTCACTGCAACCTCCACCTCCTGGGTTTAAGTGATTCTCCTGTCTCAGCCTCCTGAGTACCTGGGACTACAAGCGCCCAACACTACGTCCAGCTAATTCTTTGTATTTTTAGTGGAGACAGGGTTTCGCCATGTTGGCTAGGCTGGTCTTGAACTCTTGACCTCATAATTTGCCCTCCTCGGCCACCCAACATGCTGGGATTACAGGCATGAGCCACCACACCTGGCCAGGTAAGTTTCATTTGTATGTATTGCCCTATGATTAATCGACCAGTGAATAATGATTGTCAATTGTTGGGATAGTCTTACTAGCCTCATTTGGAAAATTTTGATTATCCCTTGTTCATTATACACATTCCACCTTTCCTTGTTAAAGGAAAAATTACTCTTGATGTAAAGATTTTTTTTTTTGCTAATAATGAGTTGGTATTAATTCCTAAGTACATAAAGTTTACCATAGAGTATCATCTCGTGAGTTCTTTGCATCTGTTGCCCTTTATTCTTTATCATTTCTGTCTGTTATTTGGATCGTTCACTTTGAATGAAGGAGAGAGGACTGTGATAGGGGGATATGTTTTAACCAATCTGAGGGAGGAAGCATTCAGTCTCTCAGTCACATATGATAGCATTGGGCTTTTCATCGATGCCTTTGGTATTGTAATAGATCGTATTACACCATTAAGGTATGGTAGTTTACATATTGTATTTTAGAGTATTACAGTCTTACCAGTCAGTGTCTCATGATTCAGTTCCCTACCAGCCAACAGACAAACCAATCACGTACTCCTGTAGGAGCAAAGGAACATCTTCGGCCGGGCGCGGTGGCTCACGCCAGTAATCCCAGCACTTAGGGAGACCGAGGCGGGTGAATCACGAGGTCAGGAGATCGAGACCATCCTGGCTAACACGGTGAAACGCCGTTGCTACTAAAAATACAAAAAATTAGCCGCGCGTGGTGGTGGGTGCCTGTAGTCCCAGCTTCTAGGGAGGCTGAGGCAGGAGAAGGGCATGAACCCGGGAGACAGAGCTTGCAGTGAGCCGAGCTCACACCACTGCACTCCAGCAAGGGTGATAGAGCGAGATTCTGTCTCAAAAAAAAAAAAAAAAAAGGAAAATCCTCACTTTTTTAATGTGATACCACTCTCTGCTCTCAAGTTAATCCCTGTTTGGGCCTGTGGGAACTTACACCATCCTTCTATATGTAATTAATAACTGATGTCTGGTTTTTCTGTTTAGTAAGAGATGTTATGTGTTTAACGGTGCCAGTAAAAGTAGGGTGCGAATTCCTTCCTCACCAGTGGGGTGCATGAGACGGTATTGAAACAACCGACAACACAAATGGAATGGACCAGCCCTCATGCAGGACACCTGCTCAACTTGACCTACCTGCTGTCGGCTGATGGTTCCGTAACACATCAGCAGTCACCTGAGTCAGAACCGTGAGCTGATGATGGGCTTTCCGTTTGGTCTGCACAGCGTTTTGTTTTCTTCAGGTGTTGTCATCTTCTCCCACACTAAAACGCTCTCATCTCCTGGACATGAATGTTTAATTGCACCCCAGCATGACATTTGCCCTGTGCTTAGCAGGCAGTTTTGAGGCCCTGGCTTATTAATGCAAAGAAGCACAGCACATAAGCCAACACTTACGTCCTAATTAGCAAGAATCAGGCTGTATCTCTGTAGTTCCTGCATCTACTCTGGTCACCATCTCTGTATGCTAAGAGCAGCCATGTGAACATTATTAAGTATTGTACACTCCAAGACAATAGTCATTATGTAGGCAGAAGTAGTGGCCTTGTTTGTTTCTTGTGCTACTTCTCCCCTTGCCGCTGTCCCATACACCCTCCTGATGAGGTGTACATCCATGGTGCCTCATGGTTCAGTCACTGATGAGTAATGAAAATGGGAAGAAAGAGTTTGATATTAGCCCCTATCGAAGCATATGAAGAAGCGTCTCAGCTGCTTGCATTGAAAAATTCCTAGCCAATGTGTGGGCTTTTCTTATCACTGCTGCTTATCAGCATGCCAAAAGTCGAATCTTCGGACTGCAAGTCTTGCCGGCCTTAGACATAATGGCCTTACTGCATGTGGAGCTAACCCTAGGAAGATGGAGTGACTGTCTCCGGAGGATTAGGTGGTCTCCTTCAATGTGGCTTGATGGGCCCCTGAACTCTTTCCTGTAAATATACAGAGAGTCTACACTGCCAGCGATCGTGTGCCTCAACTCTGTAGATGTAGAAATTCAAAATATTCAAAATATTCTGAAACAGTTTCCATTGAAAGGAAAGAGAAAAGCAGTCAGGTGCCACGCTCTGGTCAAGAGAACTAGTAGATGGCTCACAAGAACACTCTGTTTTTACTGTCTGTGCTTCTTTCACAACAAATATCCTGATCCTTCAGTTTTAAGGGTGTAGTTCTCAAGATAACTGTATGATATGCTGGGAATGCAATATCCTGATAATCAGGTGACATTGGTCAGAACAGCCCAGGCCCTGTTAGAGTCCCTGCTCGAAACAGAACGGCCTTTAACGCTTGTGTCCAGCAAACCACATCGTAGGAGAAAACCTAAGATGAGCTGCTTTCTGGGGTCCCTCAGTTGTAGTGCAAGTGAAGCATTTACAGTCAAAACTCCATCCATCTGCTATGGGTAGCCTTCCTGATCTTGTGGTAGCGGTTCATATTGAATCCTAGGCTTCTGTTGTCTTTTGTTTGCTATTTGTAAGTAATAAATTCACTTCATGGAATTTATGTATGAATGTGTTTGGTCTCACTGTACTCAGAAAAGTTGGTAGCCATTGCACAGTGAACACGCTTCATAATTGGTGAAAACACCTATGCCCCCCTTGTGCCACAGGAAGAAGGTTAATTCAGCCAAACATAAACTTCATGTTCGGAAAACCCTGTAGCACAATTATTACCATGTGGGAGGCCTTTAACAATGGTGATGCTGATTTGAAGAACTCTGAAGGAAGAAATTTATACAAATGGGTTGGGTACACAGGAGTCCCACCTAACTTAAAGAAACCCTTACTCCCCTCCGTTTAAAAAGAGTGGAGAGGCCAGGCACAGTGGCTCAGGCCTGTAATCTGATCACTCTGGGAGGCCGAGGTGGGCAGATCACAAGGTCAGGGGTTCAAGACCAGCCTGACCAACATGGGGAAGCCACATCTCTACTAAAAATACAAAAATTAGCCGGGCATGGTGGTGGGCACCTGTAATCCCAGCTACTTGGGAGGCTGAGGCAGGAGAATTGCTTGAACCTGGGAGGTGGAGATTTAAGTGAGTCAAGACCATGCCACTGCACTCCAGCCTGGGTGACAGGGCAAGACTCCGTCTCAGGGAAAAAAAGAAAAGGGTGAATAAGAACTGAAACAGGTTTAAAATTTCACCTAATTGGAACTGCAAAGTTTACAAAAATAATATTTAAAGTAAAAGGTTAAGTGAGTGCTCACTGAATTTTACGCCTCCACAAAGTAGGTTGTGAATTAACTTCCACATCTGTTGAAAGCCACCAAAGTTGGGAAGCCTCCGTGTCTGAAATTCACATGTGGCTCAAACAAGAATTATACCTGGGGATACCCCAAAGTTTAAATATGGTATCCCCTGTGATATTATGAGGAATTACTGTACATAAAACAGGTTGTCTTCCTTTAACTCTGTAAATAATATTATCTTGCCTAAATTCTCCAAAACGCATCGCTCTGCAGTATCCTATAGTGGACATAGGTTTCCTGACCAATGAGCACTAAAAGTACGTGTGTGCGACTCACCTATGTTCTTATCAAAATGGAAATCCCCGAATCCCACCAGTTAGAATAACATGACAGAATATCAGATTTTTGGAATATATAGGTTTTCTGTCAGGTTATTAGGTATTGATTCCATTTTTTAAATAGATATCAATATATTCAGATTGCCTATTTCTCCTGTGTTTTAGTATTAATAGACTGTGTCTTTTAATTCATCCAGTTGGTCTAAGTTACCAAGTTTGTGACTTATGGAGATTGTAATATTGTTTATTATTTTATCATCCATGGGCTC